GCTGTGGGCAAAAATCCCATAGAAGAAATGGAGTAGCCCTCATAGTCAAAAAAGGTGAGAAAAGTAGTACTGGGGCATCATCTCAAAATTGACTGAATAATATCTGTTCAAATCCAAGGCAGACCAACCATTCAGCATCACAGTAATACACATCTATGCTCCAACTACTGAAGCCAAAGAGTGCAAAGTTCTAAGAAGACCTACGATATCTTCTAACAGTAACATGAAACAAGATTTCACATTCGTCATAGGGAATTGGCATGGTAAAGCAGGAAATCAAGAGGTAATTGTAGTAACAGGCAAGTTTAGCCATGGAGTACAAAATGAAGCAGGGCAGAGGCCTGGAATTTTTGTCAAGAGAACTTGCTAGTCATAACGAAACACTTTTTCAACAGCCCAAAAAGGCAACTCAACACATGGACATCACCAGATAGTCAATCTAGGAATCAGATTGATGATTTACTTTGCAGTCAAAGGTGGAGGAGCTCTAGACAGTCAGTTAAAACAAGACCTGGAGCTTAACTGTGGCTCATTTCATGGCTCAGATCATGAACTGCTTATTGAAAATCAGACTGAAGTTGAAGAAAGTAGGGAAAACCGTCAGACCATATAGGTAATGTCCTAAATAACATTTCTTATGAATGTGAAGTGGAGATGATGAGTAAATTTTAAGTGATTAGCTCTGGTAGATAAAGTGCCTGAAGAACTACGGACAGTTTCACAATATTTTACAGGAGGCTGCAACAAAAAACATTCCAAAGAAAAGAGCAAGAAAGCAAATTGGCTGCCTGATGAGGCTTTACAAATAGCTGAGGAAAGAAGGAAAGGGAAAGGTAAAGAAGAAGGGGAAAGATATCCAACTGAATTCGGAATTCCAAAGAATAGCAACAGATAAAGTTTTCTTAAAAGTACAATGCAAAGAAATGGAAGACAACAATAGAATGGGAAAGATAAGAGATCTCTTCAAGAAAATTAAAATGTGAAGGGAATGGTTCATGCGAAAATGGGCATTATAATAGACAAAAATGGTAGAGACTTAACAGATGTAAAAAAGATTAAGAAGAGGTAACAAGAATATACAGAAGAACTGTACAAGACAGATCTTACCATCACTCATAACTGTGATGGGGTGGTTACTAAATTAAAGGCAGACGTCCTGGAGAATGAAGTCAAGTGGGCCTTCAGAAGCTTTGCTAACAGAAAGGTTAGTGGAGATGATGGGATTCCAACTGAGCTATTTAAAATCCCAAAAGGTGCTGCTGCTAGTGCTGCACTTAGTATGCCAGCAAATATGGAAAACTAAACTGTGGCCACTGGATTGGAAAAGATCAGTGTATACCTTGGCAGCGCCAAAGAATATTCAAAGTAGCAAACCATTGCACTTATTTCACACACCAGCAAGGTTATGCTTAAGATTCTGCAAGCTAGCCTTTAGCAGTATGTGAACCAAGAATTACCAGAAGAGCAGTCTGGTTTTTGAAGAGGCAGAGGAACTAGAAACCAAATTGCCAACATTTGCTGGATTATGGAGAAAGTCAGGGAGTTCTGGAAAAACGTCTGCTTCTGCTTCACTACACTAAAGCCTTTATGTAGCTTACAGTAAAATGTGCCAAGTTCTTAAAGAGATGGGAGTACCAGATCATCTTACTTGTCTCCCTAGGAACCTGTATGCACACCAAGAAGCAACAGTTAGAACTGAACATGGAACAACTGATTGGTTTAAGATTTGAAAAGGAGTATGACAGGGCTGTATATTGTCACCTTATTTATTTAACTTACATGTATAGTACATCATGTGAAATGCCAGGCTGGATGTATCAAAAGCCAGAATTGAGGCTGCCAGGAGAAATATCAACAGTTTCAGATAGGCAGGCAGTACCACCCTGATGGCAGAAAGTAAAGAGGAATTTAGAACCCTCTTGATGGGTGTAAAAGAGGAGAGTGTCAAAGCTGGCTTGAAGCTTAACGTCCGAAAAACCAAGATCTTATCAGCTGGTCCCATCACTTCCTGGCCAGTAGATGGAGAAGAAATGGAAGCAGCGTCAGATTCTGTGTTCTTGGGCTCCAAGATAACTGCAGCCAGCAACTGCAACCATGGTATTAAAAGGCACTTGCTCCTTGGAAGGAAAGCTATGACAAATCTGGACAGCAGATTAAAAAGCAGAGACATCACCTTGCTGACAAAGTCTGTAGAGTCAAAGTTATGTTTTTTTTCCCCGATATCAATATATGGCTGTGAGACTTGCACTATAAGGAAAGGTGAGTCCTGTAGTATTGGTGCTTTTGAATTGTGGTGCTGGAGAAGACTTTTGAGAGTCCCTTCTTTGGACAGCAGGGAGGTCAAATCAGTCAGTACTTAAAAATCAGATATTGAAGCTGAAGCTTAAATACTTTGGCTACATAATGCAAGACCCTGATGTTGGGAAAGATTGAAGGCAAAAGGAAAAGGGGATAGGGGAAGATGTGATAGACAGTGTCATGGAAACAATAAACATGAACTTGGACAGGCTTTGAAAGGTAGTGGAGGGGAGGAGGGCTTGACATTCTATGGTCCCTTGAGCCATGAAGTGTTGGACACAGCTGAACTACAACCTGGAGAGAGCAATTTCACTTGAGCGGTAAGGTTGGAAGCTTTATGCAAAGGGTGGAGGAGAGGAAGTGGAGGCAATGAGTGTAGGTAATTTTTTCAAGGAGTTTGGCCAAGGTCTTAGTGTAGGGCAATAACTTGGAAGAATGGGGTCTGTTGATGCTTTTATTTATTGGGTGAAGAAGACTTGGGAATGTTTGAAGGCAGTGGGGAAGAAACAATAGACAGGGAAAGGTTGAAAATGTGAGACGGAGAAAGATTGAGAGAAAAAGAGAGGGTGAAGGAAGAGAGAAGGATGATTTGAGGTCACAGTGTGCTCTTGAACACGGGTGTCAAACTCATAGAAATGGGGGCCACTGATTAATGATCCCTGTGGATCCTTACTGATTTAGTTTTAAAGTGTGGTATTATCTGTGTTTTATTGTATTTTTAAAAATTTTGTTCCTCATTACGTTCTGATTTAGGCCACGCTTGGGAGTATTGTGGGCCATGTGTTGGATACCTCTTCTTTAGAAGAGAGGAGGGGATTGGATTAAGGGTAGTTGTTGAACATTTGGTCATGGCAAGGAGAAGGACCATCTCATTTTAAGAGACTGAGGAAAAGGAGGAGAGTGTAGTCGTTGATGATATCCAGATTTTGAGAAGAGAAAGAGAACAAACTCACATTAGATGGTCTCAGATTTCTCAGTAAAGTAAGAGGGAGCTGAGAAAGAGGAGAGAGGAGAGAGGTGTGAGAGGCTTGAGGAGGGAAGAGGAAGTTTAGAATAGCTTCTGTGGTGAATGAGATGGGGAATCAATTAGTGAGAAATAAAAGGACTGTCTTGCTGCAGTGAGAGCCCAGTTGAAGCTGGATAACATAAATGAATAGTGTGCCAAGCAGTCTTGTCATCCTCTTTTGTTCAGCAGTGGTTGAACACCATATATGTAAATATTTTTTGGCTATAGGAACTCACAAAGACTTAGAGGTGTTACATTCTGTGATGGTGGAATGAAGTGCTCATACTGACAAAACTGTGACTATTTTATTTATTGAAAAGTATGGACTAGATTATATGGAAGTTGAGTTCTTGTTTATGATTTCCTCAGTACCATTCTCTAATTTATTTAGCCCTGCTGCCACAATGGAAGTTTTAACAAGATGACCTTGAGAACAAACTTGTACTTTGAGGTGCTTTAGGTCATTTCCCCTGCCTCTGACAGCAGTCATTTTGGATTTTTCTAACCCAATTCAGGATGAATTAATTAAGCCTGTCTATCTTCACAATTGGTTTGGTTAATTATCCATTTTGAGTAAGAAGAGCTGGTTACATGTTATGGTTGTTTTCTGAAAGGTGGTCAAGGTCTTCTAGACCTTAGAGATTTCTTTGAGCAATGATTTAGCATTAACTGATGGACTGTTGTTTTCTTAGTGTATTTAGAGTACACCCAAGGAGAGCACAGTGTGAGTGGAGCCCTGAACTAGGAATCAGGCAGTCAGATTTGGTTGTGTGGTTTGGGGCAGGTTATTGCCTTTTGGTTGTCAGTTTTCCATATCTATAAAATAAATTGGGTTGGACTACATACTAGTAAATTAGTAAAAATAAGACCTCTTCTAGCTTTAATGCTTGTAAATATGAGGGACACTCATTTTTTTGAAGATACAAATAATCAAAATTTTATTAAATTACTTTCAGCAAAGTAGAATTCAATTCAGCAAATGCTTATACAAGTCCTAATATAGGCAAAGAACTTTGCTAGGAATATAAGCACAAAAACCGAAAAGTTTCTGCCTTCAAGGATTTTATGTTCTATTGTGGAACGCCTTGAAATATTGGCAGGGGTTAGAAGTGATACTGCAGATTATATCAAGGCTGTTTTTTTCACTATATGTTAGTTATATTTCAGGGAATATAATTGGATAATCACACTGTCTTTGTAATAATTTTAATATCCAAGTTCATGCACTATACTGACTCACAAAGATAGCTTTATAACTCTTATATTAGTTTCTTTATATATGAATATTTATCATCCTTTTTCCTTTATACCTGTACTTCTAATGGAGGTCAGGTGGGACCCCCTCCTCACCTGAGCTGAAGGCTATAGTATAAGTGTGATTTATGGACCAAGTTCTTTCTGACAAAAGGTGAAATGGTATCATTGATCCTTTATGCTGGAAGGGGTTTGCTGCTAGTGAAGCTGGTCAGGCTGGGTACAGAATGAATACAGGGACTCCTTTCTCCTTCTTAGGATTGCCTCAAGGCGAGGGTAGGCCCCTTGGTTTCTAACCAGGAGTATCTTGAGCTTGTAGTCAGAAGCCACTTTACTAATGTAAAAAAGGTGAAGGTGATGGGAGGAAAGGAGTTCATACCTTACTTTTGCTTCCAGTGAGCCTTGGATTCAGGGGATTTCTCTTCCTTTTCTTTTCTCCTAGCACCCAGGTGGAGAAGAGGTTCTGATGGAGCAAGCTGGTCGGGATGCGACTGAAAGCTTTGAAGATGTGGGACACTCTTTGGATGCCAAGGAAATGCTCAAACAGTACTATGTTGGGGAAGTCCATCCGGTAAGCAGTGTGGAGCTAGAGGCTATGATGGGGAAGGTGAGAGAGAGGGACACATTACCAACGAGGGTGAAATGAATTAGAGGATAAGTAGATTAGAAGATAATTCTGATGAACTCCTCTCATTGCCCTCGGGTACATATTCGTGTTTATGAGGCTGAACACTTAGTGTTGATTCACAATCTGGAAGGAAATGGTTGTGAATTTTTCTCAAGTGATGAAAAGCGCCTTTACTGCCCTTGATTTGGCCCACGTGCCACTGTCTGGTGGCTCCTGCGTATTGTTGGGAAGGTGTGACTCCTCTTCCCTAGAGCAGCTGGTTCTGCATGTCCTTGTTTCTTCATTATTTGGATATTTCTTTACATTTGATTTTTCTTTTTTTCCAGAGTGACCGTGAAGGTGAAAGATCTGAGGTAAGAAAAGCATCAATTTCTTCTGTCCCCCTGAAGCACAAAGTGTCCGAACACAGTCCCTCAGCAGATGTACCAGTTTGGTGTATGCTTTTAGTTTGATATGAGTTGTGTTGTTTGGTTTTTAAAACCAGGCAGAAGGACACCCCCCCCTTTTTTTTTGATAAGGAATTTGAACTAAATTCCGCCATAGGAGAAAAGTTTTCAATAGTAGAGAAAATGTCCTAAACATTGAATTTGTAAGCTAATTAGTATATGGGAAGGAAGCAGATGAATTTGGGGCTTGACCCTAGAAAAGTGATATCATCTGGCCTGATGGACAGGTGATTTAAAAAAAGTCTTGCTCTGTTCTCAGAAGGTGGTTTTGTTTTTTGTTTTGTTTTTTGGGAAAAGACTTAGAACATCAGTTTTTATCTCTCTCACCCATCCTCTCTTTTTCCTTTCCAAATACAAACATATACACATACACATATCCTCCTAATTTTCCATTTTAAAGAGTTGTGGGATGAATCGATTTGGAGATGGCCTTTCTACTCTTTACCCAGTAATCTAATTCTCTTACCAAGTGAAAATATGGAGGCTGCTTTGCTCAGGAATATGTTCCCTCATCCATTCACTCTGTGGTTTAGCAGGAAGGGTGGAATCAGTCATCAGTCAGTACTGTTGAGAGTCAACACATACCTCCCACTGTTACCCACACCTAGGACAGAAAAGATAAGGGCTTTCTTAGGCTCTCCTGCTTCTGGGCGTCTGTTTTTTCATGGACCATCCCTCACCCAGCCCTTTTCCAACTTCACTTTTGTAGATGACAGAGTAGGAGCATCATAAAATCGATATGCCTTTTTCCCTGTATCCCCGTCCCCATTGAGCCTGAATTGCCGGGCAGGTTTGCTGTAGCAATTAGTGTTGACTTAGACACAAGCACTGAAGCCTTAGTTGCCTCAGAATGTCTGTGCCTGAGCGGCTCAATCCACTCTTTACGCCCCACACACTCACTATGTCAGTCTGTTAAATCATTTTCAGAAAAGGAAAGACTTGTCTTTAACCTAGCTCTGAGCAGTGTTGGCTTGTAATGTGCACCGTTGCACCCCCAGCCTGTGTTCTTTGCCCCTGAGCTCTTATCGATAATGTTGAATTGGGCGGCTCCAAATGTTCTCGTACAGTTTATTGAACTTGTCCAGAAAGCATTAGCAGGTCAGAGGTGGGTCTGTGCTTCCTGTAGGTGTGTCCCTGTTTGCCCAGGAGATGTGTCCTGGCTTCTCGCTCATAGATGCATCTTGGTTTACATCCCTAAAACAGATTCAGGACATAGAGAAATAGAGAAAGCCTTATTTCTTGCATCTTTTCCCATGTGATTATGGTTTCTTTCCAATACCTTGTAGGAGACTAGAAAGAAGATACTGTGCAGAATTAAGGTCCCCCCTTGCGAGTAGAGCCAGAGCTGTGACAGGCTTTGAGGGTACCCTCTGAGAATGGTTGCTGTGACTTAGGAGTACCAGCAGGTGCTAGTCACTGGAAGGGGCTGTGTTTTCAGTTGGAAACTAAGGAAATATTCCTCTGGGAATAGAGAGCAAAGTCTTATTTGAAGTAAGGGTCCTGCATGTCTGTGCTAAAGAGACTTTTTATTACAAAGTGTCCTGAGAAATTTTGACTGTAGCCTTGCTCCTTTTACAGGATTTACAGAAGTAATAATAACTGGCATTTATGTAGCACTTTATGGCTTGATTTATATACCTATGCTGTCTCATGCAGTACAATCTCTGTTGTACCTATAGAATATTAATGATAGAACACTAGATAACTGTATTATAAAAATAGAAATAAATTCTTCCATCTGGCAGTTTAGCAGATAACTACATTACATATAACAAGATTCAGTTTAGCAGTTTATTAGGTTTTACTGATGGCCAAAGATACAGTTATGGTTATTGAGACTCAGTTTTTCCTCATGTTCATTGTGTTCAACGATTCTCTCAGTTATAGAGAACATGATTCTGTAGGTTACGTACTTCCTCTAAAAGTGATATACCTACTAGATCATCATGTTTGTTTTTAGTTCTCTGCCCCTTTAGTTCAGGACTCATGGACAATAGGTGGCCTTTTAGACATTTTGTAAAGGCAGCCAGTGTAGTGGAGGGAAGACTGCACTTGGAGTCAGCTAGGCCTGCGTTCCAAGTCCTGCCTCAGACACTTACTGGCTGTGTGACCCAGAGTAAGTCATGTGATCTCTGTGGGCCTCAGTTTTTTCATATGTAGAACAAGGGGGTTGGACTCTGTGGCCTCTGAGGTCCTTTCCAATTCTAAATCTATGATTTAGTGAACCCATCATCTCCCAGAGAGACAAATTCCAAACCTGGTTTTCCATTCCTCAACCCAATTAAGAAGGAATATTCTCTCTCTCAAGTTATCAGACAAGGCTTCTAGTCTGCAGTTGTTTGCTAGAAGAACTATCATTTCTGGTGATTTTTCTGGCTTATCTTAACCAAGAGAAAATGGTAAAGTTTCTTCTTTTCATCACACCTTTCTTTTTTAGGTCCCTGGGGGGCAGGGGCAGAGTAAGCTTTCCCAAAGTATAGTTTCTAAAAGTTTGAGGATTTTACCCTCTTGGGTATAAGGGTTAAGTCAGTCTTTGTCAAATAAGTTTTAGACCTGTTGAAGGCCAAGGTTTTGTTTTCATCTCTCCTCTATTTACTTTTAATGTAGAGAGAGTTCTCATTCTTGTTCTAAGTTTTTTGCATGTAGGGTGAGTGTGGAATGTGAAAGGGCCTGTGGAAAAGTCTGCTATTCTACTTTAGGTCCTTTCTTTTCAGGACATTAAAAAAAATGTGTAAAAATAACAACTATCTATTTGGTTAGACTTGTGCCAGTTTTTTCGATGTGTGATCAGGGTGAAATTCCCTAAAGTTTACCTTTCTGACTTAAAGCTCAACTTTATTGAGTTAGTAGCCATTATTCCATTTTTCTAGGGGACTCTTCATGTTCTTTTCAATACGCCATATCCAGGAGATATGGTCATTTCTTACCCTGATTTAATGTCAGATATCTTACCAAGGTAGCTCAGGAGCCAGGGCACCAGAAGCAGAGGGCTTACCATCATTCATGCCTAGTTTCTGGTGTCAGGGTAAGACAGCTGAGCAAACTCTCTTTCCTGCTCTAGACAAGGTCAGGTAGTGGGCTGACAAACCTTGATTGCTGTGATTAAAAAGCCTGCAAGCTGCTGTGCACACTGGGCTTTCCTTGCTGGGCAGCTTTGCAGTGGACCCTTGTCTTGGGAATGACCTTCCCAGTGTAGCAAATCTCTTCCGATCAGTCATTTGCCAATACAGTTAACTTGGGATTGTTCAAATAAAACCCACAGGTTTAGATCTTTAGACTGACTTAGCTTGTAGTTTCTGTTAACTTCTTACTGAATTTGACCAGTATTATGGTGCATTTAGACAGGTGGGATGAGCTGTCTTTTCTCTCCCTGCCTCTCCACAGTGGGGAAGAGAAAGTGTAAGAAGTACCCTCAGTGTGGGTCAGCAGGGGTGAGCTTCAGGAAACCTTCCCCATTCCTTTGCTGTGTGGGTGTCAGAGGTTAATCTACTATTTCTACTGATGTCACAAAGTCCTTGGCATAGAGGTGGCCTTGGGCTCTGTGACTGTGGTAGATGAGCTCAGGTTTTGGCCACTTCTGCAAAGCTGGAAATGCTTTGACCTTGGTGGATCTGGCACCAGATTGTATGACTAAGCTAGTCTGTATAACCTACACACAACCAGCCCAGCTAAGATCAGAGGTCATCTCAAGAAGCTGGGCAACCCAGTGGTTTGCTTTTTCTTTTTTGGTCACTGCCACTCATAAAACCGTAAATAAAAGAAGAGCAGTTGATCTGAATTGGTGAAGGGAGCTCCCACGCTGAAGAAATCACAATTCCAAAAAGAGTTTGTTGTTCCTTGCTTTATTTGGTCCATTTCTGGCAGTTTTGAGGGGATAAAGGTGAGTTGACTTTAAATTCAGACCCTCCCTCATCTGCCTTGCACAGAACTCCCTGCAAACAGCTTTTGAGGCCCAATTGAATGTTATTTCCCCCTGTGATAGTGTCAGTCCTGCTTCCCACAGAACATGGCTTTACTGCCTTGTCTGTTTTTGTTTAGTGGCACAAGATGAAAGAAGAATACCTGGGTACAGTGGCCAAAGGTAGCTATGGAACTTGAACGGTGATTTTGGGGAGCCATTTACGGATGGGGATTTTAAAAAATCGTATCTATAAGTTATTCAGGTGGAGAAGAGGGCAAGGTTTTTATGAAGACTTTGGCTAACAGGGACTGCTGCTTGCTGAGGCATCATGTCAGGCTCATCAGATTCTTCTTTGCATCTGTTGAACACTCGTGTTCTATAATGTTCTCTTCCATGCTGAAACTTAGATCGAATCCAGTGGACTCTATTGAAAACCCACGCACCCTTCATCTCACATCTTGAGATAGCGCTGTAGTCTACTTCTTTGTAAAACACGATTCAAAGTTGAGCTATAAAAACAAAGATTAGCAGAACCCAACATCCTTCTCAGAACCAGCACTTTAATTTTGTCACAGCCTTAGGTCCCAGTAGAGATCATCTTATGTCTTCATTTTAATGGGTTTCTGCCCAAGTCCTATTTAGATGTCTCATTGTTGCCCAGAGGTCGTGACCCTGGGTCCTCAAAGGCAACAGGAACACAAGTTTTGGAAAGACTTCAAGTGTTGTCTCAGTGATGGTCTGTTGTCCAAAGACAATAACCATGTTAAATGGGGAAGGGTCTAAGTATCAGATGCTGAAGAAGACCTGAGGGTTGTTTACTTTTTTTTTGTTTTTGTTTTTGTTTTTATTTTTGTTTTGGCTACGGTAACTCAAAAAGATCATCCATCAAGGTGGGGGGGGCGGTCACCCACCCTGATGAAAACACAGATCTTTTGAAGTACTAAAATATATGTATTATTCTTCATTTAGTTTACTGAATTCTTGAATTTTTTTTTCCTTAAAAGTTTTTTGAAAAACATGCTCTAATTTATATTTGGGAATTGTGCTTTCATTCCTATGAAACAATAGTGCAGTAATAAACAGGATGATTTTCGTAGAGATCAGCATCAGTATTTTGCAAAGTAGTAATTGGAGCAGCCCAAATCACCTAATATCTACCTAGACAATAAGATTGAGTAACTTTTGGTAGATTAGAAATATTAGTTGTTTGTAACCTCACTTTAATGCTGGTTCCCCCATGTCCATACCACTGAAATCTCCACATAGGTGAACGTTGTTGTTTTTGGAAGCAAGTGTCTGAGGGCAGATTTGAACTCAGCTCTTCTTGACTCCAGGACTGGTGCTGTCTCCACTGTGCTGCCTAGTGGCCCCAACCCTAGATGAACTATATGTTTGAAGATAAAATGAGAGCTAGAATTTCTTTTAAATGGAATTCAGGATGGAGACTCCACCGTATGACACACACTGTGCTAAAAGCAAGGTTTTAATGTACTTGGGAAGGGAAAGTGACATTTGCTTCAGTCCTTAAAAGTCTTGAGTTTTTCTCAGGAAGAGTTGTCCACGAATATTGAAAATTTATATTCTAATAAGATAAGATTCTCAACCAGGGCACCCAAATGTTCATTATTTTTCCAAGAATCCTCCCTGTGACTTATAACACTTAGAACACTTTTTAAGTACTTGGATTCATAAACAGTTAGTTTGTGACTTAAAAATAAGCACCAATAACTGAATACTTTAAAATGTATTTTGTTTTACTTTAACCTGAGAAATCCTGGATGTTCAGTGTTTTAGTTGGAAATGTAGTGGTATCTATCTATCCATCCATCTATCTATCTATCCATCCATCTATCTATCTATCCATCCATCTATCTATCTGTCCATCCATCTATCTATCTATCCATCCATCTATCTATCCATCCATCTATCTATCCGTCCATCCATCTATCTATCCATCCATCTATCTATCTATCCATCCATCCATCCATCTATCTATCTATCCATCCATCTATCTATCTATCCATCCATCTATCTATCTATCCATCCATCTATCTATCTATCCATCCATCTATCTATCCATCCATCTATCTATCTATCCATCCATCTATCTATCTATATGTGAAATGTCTTTCCATATGCATGGTGACTTTGTATAGCCTAAAGATTGCTGCTATTCTGAGGCGCTATTCTTTTGCTAGATTTATACCCCTGTAATAAAGGATATCCATTCTCTAAGAATGGGTGCTTGGGTACACATGTGACAAAGGTGCCTCTGTAGCAAAGGATGCCCAGTCTCTTCCAGGTAGGACTACTCCCAGCTGCTCTCCTGGATTAGGTATCCTAGGGAAAATGGTTTTATTGTACCTGGCTCCCTAAATGGTTGCCATTTCTGTAAGTCCTGTGGAGCTGTCAGGGCCACATAAAAGGATTTTGTCACCCCAAGGAAATAGGGGCAGGCTCTGAGCTTTTAAACTGGGAAGGAGTCAACTTGGTGCAATGCCTTCTCATTCCATCTCAAGGGAATGCCCTCACTGCCTAGTCTCTAGAGAAGCTGGCTAAGGATTACTGTCATGAGGCTGGCTTGTGGCCGTTGGTAAGAAAATTATATTGGATTAGGTGAATTTGACATGAGAGCAATAGAATTTTAGAGTTGGAAGGGGCTTTAGAGATCATCTAACATAACCTCTTAATTTTATAGATGAGGAAGGAGAAAAGTTAAAAGACTTTGACTTGAAGGTGTTAGACATAGTTCCTATAATAAGCAGCTTTCTAGAAGGGCCACTCAGTTGTTATGAAATATCTTCTTTCAATTCACCAAGACCATCTATAATGTCTTAATTTCCTAGAGTTTTAAAAATTGTTACCCAGTGTGTTAATGGAGCTACAACTTAAAGGCCTGATTTTCTTTTAAGATTTGGAAACATTTTTTTTCTTAGTTAAAATCACAGTAAGTTTATGATGAGGTTTGCTAACTCTTGATCATAAGTTACATCCAAAATTCCATTGAGAGCAATAAGGAAACATGCAAAGGAATTCCTTAGTCTGCTGAATGCTGAAAATACTATTTCAGAGTTTGGTTTGCTCCCAGAACTTCTGTTTCTGCTCTGTGTACCACAGACCAGACAGCTCTGAAGTTTGTAAGAGTCACTGTGTTCTGCTCCCTGAAAATCTTGTATGTAAATTCAAATTAGGGGAGGGTCATAGCCAGCTGGATTTGCCTTCATGGCCAAAAGTTTATGTTAAAGGGACCTCTAGGGGTTTCTTTTAAAATCCATTGGGTTGAACATCGGAACTTTGAGAGTGATGATGTAGATTGGGAAATGACATTTGGAGGGAGGAAGGGGTTGAAGGTAGACATATGTGTTAGTAGAATCATTTAAGGACTAAATGTCTTACATTTTTTTTTATTTTGCAAAATTAAAAATAACTTATTTGGCTTCTTTCCAAGCTTGGCTGAGGGACTTGGCTTCTAATAACACTGCTTTAAACAACTCTTTCATTGTAGTTGATTAAAAGTGGGGCCACTGTAGCCTGGCATTTACTTGGCTATGAGTATACTTAAGGGAGAGCAAATTTTTTACCTTCCTTCTTTTACTGTGCTCTGATAGGTAAGATTGTGTCTTATTTCTGGGTAGATGGTTATGATCAAAATAAAGGCATTTTGAGGTCCTTTTGGTTCAAAAAAATATATGTATGTATGTATGTATATATATATGTTTCTAAACATCAGGAAGTAGTTTAACAGTTAAATCCAAATTTCTAGCCTTAGGTCCCTTCCTTCCATTTTTATAGGCCATATTTGAAGGTGACCAGAAAAATCCTCAGCACTTTCCACGTCTCAGGAATTGTAACCATAATTAAGGGGAAAGTTCAAAGTTTGAATCCTAGAGAAGGCTCTATATGGATAGTATACTCTCACAATTCTAGACTTGAGTGCTACAATGTGTAATTTGTCCTTTAATGCCTTCGTTTTTGGCCAGGGTTCAAAATTTCTAGTGAAACATCTTGTTTCATAGCCCCTTTACAAATCTATTCTGTCAAACACCAATATGTGTCTGTGGAGAAAAATCCCAATGTAACTGTTAGATAGATTGAGTATGAGACCATTGTTCTTTTCTTGATGTAGCCAGATCATATGTTCCTGCTGTTCAGAAATTTAAAAAATAAAGGATTAGGCAACATTATAGTGATTCGCGTAAAGCAGTTCTCAAAGTTGAGGCTGTGAAGTTTTCATTAGACATTTTCACATCATTCCCCAGAAATACTTAGTGTTCCTGATGGCCATGGATCTCAAGACCCTGCATGTCATCTTAGTTATCATGGATCACTGAAGATTTTTGCTTTTTTTGCAGCTTAATTTCTTTCTGGTCCTAAGGAAAGGCTTGGATTAATTTGCATGATTTAAGTCATGGGCATGCAAGATTGAAACTTCATTCCACAAAGGATCTATGTAGGTTTGCTAGGAAGTCTTTCACTAATTTGTTGTCAGAAACTTACAGACTTTATGCATGGGCAACAATTGTATTTTGGGAGGAAGTACCATAGATCTGTGAATTTTTGCCCACTGTCAGTTGATATACAAACTTTTTGTATAATAGCGTTCATTTCTGAAATTACCTGGCACCCGAAAATAAATATCAGCGGGATTGTTGATATCTTATATAAAGGTGGATGTTCTTGTTCCCTGTTTTCATTTCCTTGTGTGTGGTAGCCCCACAAATCGAATACTCCTTGGGCATAGTTGTATTTAGTATGCAGTTAAAAGCGTCAAAAAGAAGTCATTTTTCTCTAGAAATAATAAAGTCTTGATATTCCCATAATGTGGAGGATTGCATAGCTAGCCATTGTATTCTAGAGGAACTTTTAAAATTTTGATCTCTTCCTCTAGTAGAACATACGTCTTATCTCTTGACAGTGGCAAACTCAACTCGATTAGGTAGCCTAGTGGGACCATGAGTCTACTTCACTGTAGTGGCCATCCCTGAGTTCCTCTCATTTTGTATACCTACTCATTAAGGAGTTTTATTTAGTTTTATTTTAGTTTTATTTAGTTCTAGAGCTGGTCTAAAGTATTGTTTGGATTCATGTTGCAGTTTGTAGTTTTAAATAAGCGATACTAATCATGTTTCCTATCTTTCTTTTTGCTTTTTGGTTCACATCTCCAGAGTTCAGGTTCAGCGTGCAGAAGGTACAGTATTACTTCAACAAACTTCCTTGTATTTTACAAGTAAAGTCTTAACACAGAGGTCCATCTGTAGTGATAATAAGTACATAAGTACATACTTTCTGTAATGTGTGGTATAAGGTTACAGCTTGGAAAACCTTGCTTTTTAAGAGGGAGGTTGCCACCTGGTTGACAGGTTTAGCTTGTCTCTCATACCTTTAGATTTCTTTCCTGCCATACATAGATAAAGCTGATATTCCCCCCATGTCATATTTGTTCACTGAGACCAGAAAAAAAATTTGTTAATTGAATCTGTTTGGGCCCACTTTTAAAGGCTTTCAAGTTATTCAGCCTCGTTAGCTACATATATGTCAAGTAGCAGGCCAGCCAGGTCATGTGGAACTTTAAGGAGCTGTTTGACTCTTGGGACCTTGAGCTCTATTAAAAATAAATATTCTTCTTTCAAGCAGTTTCATTTTAGTTTTGAAACTTATATAGAAAAATCCACGCAGTACCTTTGGCTGGGTGTTTATGCCTTTCAGCAGCCGTTTTCTTGTAGTGTTCTCTAGGTTTATATAACTTGTTGGACAGAGTCCTTCTGTAGAAATCTTAATCATTACTAAATCTGGCTGGATACTACGGCAGTTAGAAATGTCAATTCAGTATTTACTAACAACTTCTTTTTTAGCAGCTAATATTTCCCAGTTTTTTGCCTAGAAAAAAAGGTACTGATTGTGCAGAACATTTGGGATAAATGTGTATAACTTTTTTGCACTTGTTTTGTTTTGTTTTCTCTAGCTGCTGGTCAAATTGGATGATCCCTGTCGTGGGTGTTGTCCTCTTAGCTGTCATATATCGATTTTACATGTCGGAGAACAAGTTGTCCTGAGTCAGCCTCTTTGGAACCTGGAAAGTGAATACACTAGAGACAAAAAAAGCGTGCAGTCCTGCTCTGGTAGGATTGCTGGATTCCCCTCTCTTTGAGTCCTGCCAATTTTATTGCCCTCCTGCTAAGTTACAATGGGCATGCCAACCGTCCGCCTCTGAACTAGGCCAGCGAGCCTCCTTATACAGTTGCAATGCCTTACTTACCCCCCGAGGCATCCTGATCGTCAAACATTTCATTCTCTTGCCTATTAATTTTTCCTGAAGTTTTTGTAAATAACTTCATTCCACAATTTTCTGTCAGCCAGTTCAGGGAAGTGGAGAAGTCATTTGAATGTGTATATGTAAAACAGTTCTGTGATTTTACAAAAAAAAATGCTGTCTGTTTACAGTGTCTTTCAATAAAAATATCTTCCTCTGGCACTTTGAGCTTAGAGTGGGCATTCTCAAAAGGACAGCAGAATGTCTGGTTTTGAGGATGAGAGGATGTTTTTTTTTTTCTATATATTGGTAGCTACTTTGAAGCAAATACCAATTTTTAAAAGTTACAGTCTAACTTAATTCCATTAATTTAGTTATTTCTGTGATATTTAATTTAAAGTGCATAGCTCCTGTTACCTGGAACACAGTTTTCTAAATTGTCATTTTTGAGGCTAATGTTGTATCCTTGTTTCCCCACAAGAGTAGCACTTGGCCTCTGTGGTCTCAATTTCTTTTCTTTTTAAAGTGGTGTTTGAAATAAACTAGTCTCTCCTTTGGTGAGTGAGTGGGTTCTTTTAGGCTCTGATGAGTTCATAGGAGCCTTGAGGAAGGGCTGGGTATGGAGGTGGGAAGGCGTGACAGTGGATTTGGATGAAAAAGTTTCTGAGGTACTTCTGAGCAAGTGGTTTGAGGAAACAGTAATCATTCCTATGGCTTGGTACTTTTTTTTTCTTTTAGTCTGTTAAAAAATAACAGCATATCTAAGTTCAGAGTAAGTCTGGTGAGCTTTCTCAGAGTATTTGTGTAATTTAGTGGATTTTGGAGGAATCCTGATTGCTTAAGAGACCATGACTCCAGATGTATCCATGACATTTGGGATGAAAAATAGTTGGTACAATAATATGACATTTGTGGGTGGAATAAATAAGAAGAGAAAATGTTCGAGTTTATGCTTCTCTCTTTGACCTCTGTGGCTCCCAGGTGTTTGTAACCAATCCTGTTGGAATGAACTACCATAAAAGAGACATCCTGGTTTTTTTCTTGGCATGGGTGTTTTTACCGGTGGCTCACTTGTGGTACTTCCTAGGAGCAGATTGTCCCACACCCTAGACTTTCTCCTTTCCCCTGTGTACATGCTAGACTAACTGTGTCCCACAAAGGCACTGTTCTGTTGATGATTCTCACCTATCCTGTGAGAATAACCTCATCGAGCAGGGAAGCACCACCACCTCTGCCCATTTCCTCCTCCCCTCCTTCTTCGCTCTGCCAGGGCCCCGGCGAGACAGGAAGCCGCTCAGCAAACCTGTGTCTGCCCATGCAAACCATTCAAGAAAAAGTGCAGCCAAGGTCTTGTATACTCTGATTTAGCAGATGACTGAATGCAGAATTCATCAAATAGTGTTTATAAACTTTTATGTGCACATATGGTTACTGCATGTGGATACCTAAAGGGTTTCTGGAAGAAATTTTATGGATTTCTGGGATATGTATGATGCAGCCTTTGTTTTGGAAAATGTATTGGCATCTATTGCAAACCCCTTACTTTCAGATGTGAGCTATATGGTTGAGAAAATCTTTTAATTGCTCTTTGTAAAGGAACATTAGCCATTGCTTCCTCTAAATTGTGTAGGATGAGAATACCTTGAGTAAAGGGATTGACAACAATTAATGAGAATAAATTGGTTTATCTGGAAATGTAGGGGTATTTATTGTCTTTGGGGGGTGGGGGGAGTGAGGAGAGAATGCTGGGTTGGAGAAGGAAGCAAGCATTGGAAGTAAAATGAAGCCAGAAGAAGACTCATATGTATTAGAGAAGTACATTGGCGATATTCAAAGTTGCATGCAAACCAGCTGGGTTGTAAGAAGTTTTGTAAAACTGTCCTCATGTAAAAATGGTGTTTTGATATTTTAGGGTAAAACAGTAATGTGTTTTTCTGTTTTCTGCTGGACATCTTTTCCTGTTTACATCTGGAATTGTTCTTCCCCAGAGCCGGATGAAAATTCTTTGGTCTCATCCCTACCACACATAAAAACCACCCAAACGTTGAGTTCCTTTTTGGACTCAGACTGCTCGTGTCATGTCTTTAGTTGTATTGTTAAAACTGCTCTTGTGTACATTCGCTACCATGTTGTATTGGAAACACCTGTTCCAGGTATCTCTCTAAGCAAGAGAGCCCATAACATCTTTCTAATGGATTTGAGCAACAAGATGACCCAGTTAACTCCATTTGTGCTGTAAATAAAAGCCAGACTGCTCATCAATTTCAGCATCATTGGATAGACAGCAAAAGCTGGTCTAAGGTATCTGTGAAATAACTCCCCTTGGGCCCCAACGCTCACTGGCACTGGCCTCGGGGGTATTTTCTTGTTTATTCTGGAGGAAAATTAGCTCTCATGCGCTAGCTACACTGAGTCAGAGGCATAATGTCTAGGGAACAAATTTAGGAAAGAGGCTGGGGGAGCTGGTGCCACCCAGAATACACACTGTCGGCTGTGCCAGTTGGCGAGTCTTTGCACCAGCTCCCTAGAATTCCCTCACCCTACCCCTGGAGTAATTGGTTTCATTGGCTTCTGTAGTTGTCAAGAGAGGGAGGTGGCAGAAACAAAGTTAGTATTGTGTTTCTCGGGGGAATAGCGTCACCAGAAGCAAAATCCATTGGAACCTATAATTTCAACCTCTGGAGTTCGTTCCTTTAGCAGAGGTCATAAAAGTAATAAGTATTGTGAAATAAGAGTGTTGTTGAGTTCCTATTCACTTATGAATATTCTTGTTCAGTTGTGAGGTATTGAAAAATATTTTACAGGCCAAGTATGTCATTATGACACCTCATGCTTAAAATCTGAGGTGATGCCTCTCTAGTTTAAATTCCATTTTAGGAGATAGAGATGACATAGGCAGAAAATGGAAACCTGCTCCTACTCTCCTAGAGCAGGAGGCAGTCAGTCCTGACTCGTCCCAACAAGAGTGTGATTTGTCAAACTGTCTTCCTCTGTAGTTGCCCAGCATGACAAAACCATTGGAGAGTTTAGCCAGAGTTGGCTGTCTTAACTCCACAGAAGCTAGGGTAGGAATGTGCGGGGGTGATGCAGCATAGAAATGTTTCTCCAATTACCTGCTATGTTGTGGGTTTGGCACCTTAGTCCTTCCTTAACTAGCAACTTTGTTTTCAGCACATATGTCTTAAATTTGTCCAATTGGGGAAAAATACTAGTATAATTTAAATTGCCTTTCTTTCTAGCATACGTACCCGACTGACCATAAATGTGTGATAATCAGCATCCCTCTTGTGTGTTCAGTAATGGAGTGTGTTCACCTTTTTAATTTCAGAATAGTTTACACAGAGATCTTTGTCTTTTCCTAATGAGACAGACAGTGAATGTTTGTTAGAGTGGACACACAATAAAGATACTGTTTTCTTTTTTCTTGACTTGGTGACTCTTCTTTAAACATTAAAATCAGGAGTCTGTTAGATTCTTTTATTCTTCTTTAATGAGGCAGTTGAGGTTAAGTGACTTGCCCAGAGTCACACAGTTAGGAAGTATTATGTGTCTGAGGCTAGATTTGAACTCCAGTCGTCCTGACTCCAGGGCCAGTGCTCTATCCACTGCGTCACCTAGCTGCCTCTAGATTCTTTTATTCTCCGGTGTTTTAGGAGACCATTTGAGTCCTGTGAATATAATCTGTGGCTATGCTATATAAATAATGTGACTCCTGATTTGAAACTGTTGGTCTGAAGGATTTCTGCTGCTGCTCACAACCTGAAGGAGATTTTGCCTCTCCTGATGTATACAAAAGATGGGGGAGGAAACCTCGAAGACTTGTGGGCAATATTAATGTAAACCAAATGTGGACGTCGGTCTTTTAAAGTGAGAACATTATAAGGTAATGCTATGTTCTTTGTACAAATGACCAAGCAAGGTGCTTTGAGAGAAATTTCAATTCTGAGGCTAAAGTTACAGTACTTATAAAATCAAAATAAGGAAACTAGTGTACTTTAACTGCTTCTGGCTTCTCAATACCGCGATGAGCATCTTGTGAAACTACTGATTACACTCATTAACACAAGTGACTTTTCTCTCCATGTGAATCCAGGACCTTTTCTTCCATTAAATCTCGCAGCCGTGTCCAGGGGGAAAACCATGATACTTAATCTGCTAATACCTGGGCTCCAGGTTCTGCCACTTACCTCCCATAATACCACTGAGCCTTCTTTTCCTCACTGGTCAGACTGGGCTAAAACTTACACAGCTTATCTCATTTTAGTGGAATAAAGTCTCTTGTAACTGAAAAAAACATCATATTTTTAAAAATCTAGCATTTTAACAGTTAGTTGTTTTGCTTGCTGATCGGAAGCATCACTGTTCTGTTTCTACAAGCACCGGACCCATTTTATAAAATGCTTCGTGGCTTTCAGAGCGCTTGACATGCATTATCTAGTCAGTCTTTGAAGCAGTTCTGTGAGGAGTAGATGCTAGGTATATTATTGTCTCCAATTCACAGAGGAGAAAACTGAAGCCGAGAGACATTGCCTTGCTTGTGGTCACACAGTTTCAAAGGTGAAATTGGAATCTATCCAACTCCCAATCACCTGTACTGCTATCTAGTACTGGCAGAAAAAGTGAAAGACTGGTCCTAAGGATGCCATGTTGCTCTGTTTTCATTGCCAAAAGGCGATGGACTGTGTTCTGGAATGGAAATAAGCTCTGTATTTGGAGTTGGAGCAACTGGATTCAAATCCCAGCTCTGCTAATTACCAGTTCTCTGAGCCTCAGTTTCCTAATGTGTAAAATAAAGATGGCAGTAAATGAACCTGTAAGTACTGTAGAAATGGTTACTGATGGTAGTACTCAGGTATTTTCTGATTATTGATGGATACGTCAGTGATCAGAAGGTATCAGGTCCTACCTTTTGCTGATACTTCCTTGTGGGGTAGTAGGTTATCCAACCATCTGTTCAGTGTGGCATGCTAAGCTCCCATAATAAGGCCAGCTAAGTAAACAAAACATGAGTTAGAGAACAGGAATGCCAGCCTAGGCCAAGCCTACTGAGTTTTGCTGATCTTCATTGGGTATTATTTTTTCTCTCTGTGCACTATTTGTTTTCACGTCGGGTTAACTACTTACATTTCAACTTCACGTGTACCAATGTCTATTTTAAAAGCTAAGTTATTTTGTAGATGACTTTTGAGTGAAAAAAAAATAAAGCCCTACTTGAAACAATACATCCTCTGAAATGACTCCCTTGAGAAACTTGTGATAGAACTTAATGCTTGCTACACAGAATCTGATTTTGAAATCTTATCAGATTACATTGCTTGGTGGGGGAGAGGTGGGAGGGAGGGAGAGAATTTGAAACTCATTTTTAAAAAAATGAATGTTAAAAATAAATTTATTTTTTTAAAAGAAATCAGAAAGCTATTTCTCAGAATTTTAGTAAAACTACCTGCTTAAAAAGTGAGGAGAAAAGATCAGGAATCTTTATACCAGCTGGAGTAAAATAAAAATTTGGTTTGCTTAACTAGGTGAAGTTGGGAGTCCTTGAATTAAAGTTTTTTACGTTTATTGGAATGAGATTTACCTTGTACTCTAAAGGTCTTGTTCAGTGCCACTGACTGGTACATCATTAATCATTAAAGAATTATTAAGAGACTAATGAAACCATTTTTAGAAGGCATAAATCTCCCTTTGTTCATCTTGTTCTGGGTTCATAGCTCCTGCAAATTATGTGGAAACCTGAATGAGGTGGGAGCCTTGGACCCAATCTCCATGAGTGTCACTTCCAGCATTGAAGATGGTCATAATGTGACAAGCTAAGGTCATTGGGAAAAGCAGCCTCAGCAAATCAAACGACAAATGTTGTTTGTTAACCAGCATAACAAATGGCATTTTCAGTCCAATAGTGCCAGTCTCAAAGCAGCTTCCTATTGTTCTTGTGTTTCTGGTTCTAATCTTTGTAACTCAAACACTCCCATGTTAACATTAGAACCACATGGATGTGGAAAGAAAAGGGCCAGATGTTTGGAATTCACCGTTTCTGAGGTCAGCTGTCCTTTAGAATCTTCCTGGAATCTTACCAGTTTTCCTCTTGTTCACCTTGACTTTACCTAAAATGTGTCTGTTGAATGGCATAATAAAAATGAGTAATTTTATTAGTTTGCTCTGATTATTAAATTAATAGCAGTAACCTATTGGAATTCAACGGAGGAACTACACAGAGGAAGGTCTGGCAAGTGAAGAGACCGTCAATTCTGCCTTTGATGTCATGGGGAGGGCTTAGGATAAGCAGGAAAAAGTAAGAGATAATACAGGAATAGGTCGTTTCTGGGTGAAGACATTATTTCCTCTGGATGGAACAAAAAGGCATTGTGATTTAATGGAAAGAACTCTAGGTCTGGATTCAGAAGACCTGGATTCAAATTCTGGCTTGGCTACCTGCTGAACTTCTACCTGCTGAGCGCAGTGCTAGGCCCCTTGGTGCAGCCCCTCATCGCCTTGCAATAGCTTATTACTGCAGTAGCTGCTGGGGGGTCTGCCTGCCTCAAGTGTCTCCCTATTCCAAACCATCTTTCATTCAGCCACCCAGGTGATTTTTCTAAAGCACACATATAACCAAGTCATCCTCCTACTTAAGCTCCAGCAGCTCTTATTTCCTTCCAGGATCAAACATGACATATACTTTTTGACATTCATGGCCCTTCATAATCTACACCCTATGCCTTCCAGTCTTAACATTCCTCCGTGTTGCGTTCTCCTATTTCATGAATAAGACATTTCATCTCTCAGATCCAGGTGTTTTCTCTGACTTCCCCATCCCTGGAATGCTATCCCTTAACTCCTGGTTTCCTTCAAGCCCCAGCTAGAATTCTACCTTCTACAAGAAGCTTTTCCCAGTCCTTAATTCTGGTGTCTTCCCTCTGATTATTTTCTATTTATTCTGTATGTGGCTTGTTTATACATAGTTTACATGTTGTCTTTCTTCTCCCCCACCCCTACCTCCGCACATTTGACTGGGAGTTCTGTGAGGTCAGGGACTGTCTTTGCCTCATTTTGTCTCTTCAGCATTTAGCACAGTGCCTGGCACATAGTAGGCATTTAATAAATGCTGTCTACTAACATAGTAGGTTTGTAAGAAGTACTTACTGACCTTGGTCTCATACCACTTAACTTTTTGGGACCTCAGTTACTTCATCTGCAAAGTAAAGTGGTTGGACTGCATGATCTCTGTGGCCCCTTCCAGCTCAAAATCGGTGATACCAAGAACCCTGAGAGTATTAGGATCTAACCCACAAAGAGAGAAAGGGAAGAAATGCCTTTTAGGATCTGTTGTTTTTTTTTTCTTCCCCTCTGTCTTCCTTCTGGGAATTTTTCCCAACTCTTATGCATGCTAATTTCCTTGCCATGGCTCACATTAACTGCTTGGTCTTTTCTCTTTTCAGATTTCGTGTGTTTTAGGGTGACGTGAAAGAGCCATAACACTTTTTTAAAAAATGCTCAGTGGTCTTGAGAATGTATGGGGGTCAGGGGAAAGAAGATATTGGAATGCTTGAGGTTTAAAACCAGTGGATGATTCAATTCAATTCCAAGTGTTCCAAGTGCCCGCTGTGTATCTGGTTGAAAAACACAAATTTGAATTGTTAATGTCTGGTTTAATGAATTCAGTTGCTCATTTTTGGCCCTAGATCTTGATGACATTTTGTCAAATAAATTGCCAGAGGTTTCATATGTAAAATGTGACTTGATGGAAAGAAAATGTTATTTTGGTCAGATAGGAGTGGGTTGACATGGAACACTGCTCCTGTTATCTCGATTGTCCTATTTTCCAATGTGTGTGTGTTCCTTTCCATTTCACAATATACATCCAAATAACTTGCGGCTGTTTCTGTTTGAATGTTTTCCCATAACTTCTGTGCTAGGTGCCAGGAATAGAAAGATAAAAACCAAGATGGTCCTTGCCCTCAGAAAACTTATTTTATATTGGGGGTGGGACACTAACAAGATAGGAAAGCACAAAATAATTCTAGGGGAGAAATCAGAACACTTAACAACTGAGGGTATTGGGAAAAGCCTTAGGTCAGAAGTGTAGTCTGATCTGTGCCTTGAAGGAAGCTCGAAATCCCAGGAGATGGAGGTGAGGAAGTCATTCCCAGAGCAGGGGACAAGCTGTGCATGGAGGCAGGAGGAAAATTGTGAGAGCAAGAAACGTGACATAAATTGTCTTTAAGCTAGATTGGGAAGGCCTTTACACGCCAAATAAAGGAGTCTGTATTTTATCCAAATCCTAGTCATCCTTCAGAGTTCAAGGTCGAATCCCATCTCCTCCATAAAGACTTCTCAGACTACCCCCAGAACAACTACAATGACTTTTTTTTCCTGAACTTACATAGTTTTGTTCTACTCTAATGTATTAATTTCAGTAACCCATTATGAA